GAATGACTTTCAGAGAGGAATGTTTCGGATGATTGAATCAAAATATATCAGAAAAATGTGTACGCTCAATAAGAAACTCAAAACCCTCATATCTAAGCATAAACCGAAAGAAACCACTCCGAAAGTCATAAATATTGTTGAAAATCATTCATCACAATCGTTTGATAAGGAAGAGATCAACCTTCTGAACAACGGTTTGAAATTTGGCATCCCGCCTTCCGAGAAAGTTCTTGAGAATATCGTTGCTAGAGTTGAAAGCTCGATTCAATATGTGCCCGATTCCTCGAAGGGACTAGTTCGAGAAAAGGTCAGAAATCAAATCTCCAAGAACAAGATAACAGATAAACGGAAGCATTCAATAAGCAACAATAAAAACCAAAAAAAACTTATCAAACGATTGAGAGACAAGGATGTTTTTTATTTGAAAGCCGACAAAAGTAACAAAGTAGTAACTCGGGATAAACCGGCTACTACGGAAGGGTCAATACTCTCATTACTAACGGACCGTATGCGAAATTGTCCAGGAACCTCACTCACCACCGGAAACCGCAAGGGTTTATTGTGGCTCACACCTATTCACACTCGACCAGTTTCTTAACGAAGCCGATTCGTTTGTATGGTGAGTGGTCTGTCAGGTTAGATGGCGAGAGTACGGCTCTGCGAACTCTAATATCCTGATTCGGTTCCCAGCGGAGCAGACATATGATGATTCAAATGACAGTGACCTATGAAAAGGCCTGTTAAACATTGTAGTTCATCCCTACTGTTTGGTATCAAGCTTCGAAGGATGAATAGACGCCTTGGAGTGAGCCAGTCCTGGAAGATACTGCTAGAAGTTCATAAATCTTCTTGCCATCCAGGTGTTTAATGTTTGTTTGGCAAAGCCTGAAGCGATGCCAATGACAGGTTCTGGTCCGATGAAGCTGCTTGCAGCATCTTTTTTTGTAAAGGAGTCAGCAGCCTCATTGCCTTCCAGGCCAGTACGTTGCTTGGTAGGAGCCAAGAGCTTCCAATGCCCCTTGACTGTCCGAGAGTATTTTTATTGACTTGTGTATGAGGTTGAATTCTTCCAATCTCTCCGCACACAATTCAATAGCATACATTTCCGTTTGAAATACAGTCGCATGGGTTCCTAGGCAGGTTGACATCTCTGCCCTGGGTCTGCGACTGAAAACACCTGCACCAGAACCTGAAGATGTTTTTGATCCACCTGTGGACCAACAACTATCTGCTTTCAATATTTCTTTCTCCCGGAACATCCAGTCCTCTCTACTCGGGAACAGTACTTTATAAGGCAGTTCATAGTTGACAGTTGAAGGCATAAAGTCAGAGTGTTTAGTGAAAATCCGACAATAAAGTGTTTTTTGAATACGTTACTTATGGATTTACATCAAGTATCGGCCAATTCTATCATAAATATGAAGTCAGAGGTCATTTCCAGAATAATGTGACTTCACGTGTCAACCAACAGGGAAGTTATAAAAGCATTGTGTAGAGATAAGTTTGAAAAATTGAGAAATATGTTAAATTTGAATTAATGTAAGTACAGTATAAATGTAAGGAGGCGTGTTGAGTATTGTGATACATTTATATTTCACTCTGATTTGTCACATGTATTCTACGCCTATGGTTATAGGCGTAGAATACGCCTATGGTGTGTTGGCAAATGTGTCATAGGCCAGAGCTCTGTAAGTAACAAGTCGGAGTTGGTACAAAGTACCACTGATAGATGGAATAGGTGATAGAAAAATAGATTATGGCCTCGATGTTGAAGGCGTTGCACTGTTATATATTATTAATTAGAAATGTATAGTAAATATAGCAAATTTCAGAGAGAGAAGTTTCTGTTTTGGTTGGTTTCCGGGTTTTACCGTATCAACTGATACGTGATACATAGTGATACGTATCAACTGTTACGTCATACGTACTGATACGTATCTGTTGATACGTCAAGAAGAGTACTTCCACCACGGCACTGAAGATGACTGCCGCTGTTGCAGTTGAAACGTTAGGAGATTGTAACCAAAGAAGACCACGGCAAAACCCGGAAACCAACTAAAACATTGACGTCAGCCGTGAAAGCCTACATTTCTATAATGGAGAAGTTTCTTTTCAAAAACATTTGCCTGCTTAATGATATCGCGGATCTGACTATCATACTTTTCTGATTTCAACTAACAGATTCTTATGAAGAAATTAATTCTCACCTCTCCGGTTGTTGAAATCCAATAAAGAACTGACGCTCAGCAAACTCTCATCATTATCGTAAATGATAATAACTTTTTTCCAGTTGAAGGCCTCAATCAGGTCCATGAAGAAAAACGACAGCACTTTCGGGTGAGGATAAAAATTCACTAAAGTGTCGTTTCTTTCCAAATTCAAACTACGGTGAATTTCTATGTGAGGTATCTCTTTTGAGTCGCATAGGGACTGGATGAAAGGTGAAGATTCAACGGAGTTTGGTCCGAATAAGGCAATTGCTCTGTTTTCGAAAAGTTCGCAGGTTGCTCTGTATGCCTCCAAAGTGTTGTACTGGGAAATTCGGTAGGTATGTGGAAAAAGTTCGATGTGAGAGACTGGATACTTGTTGTTCATGGAATACGTTGCAATTTGGAATGCTATTTCTTGGGATTCGTCGTGGAAAATTCCACCTAAAAAATTTTAATGAATATTATGTCCATATTGTACAAATTGGGCCAAATGGAACACCTTTGAAGGAAAACTCATGTTTTCAAACCAGGTACATGAAAACTGATGGCTGTGTCTGGAGGTCAGATTTTATGACAAACTCGATGGTGAAAACCGCATATCAATATCTATCATCGTTTTTTCTCAAGGACAAAACACAAGCACTACAGGAAAATGCTTATGGCGCTCTTAGAGCGGTGCCAGTGCGAAAATAGCGATTCACATTGGATTTGAATCCCTGCAGATTAAATCCATGAACGCGGTTCTCCAAATGAAAGAGTTCTCAAACAGTTAAGTTCGAGGTGTACTGAGTTGAACCTCAAAACGATGAGCAGCCACAGTTCGTCGCGTATTTCTGATGTGTACCGCTCTTTGTGGAATCAAATGTGCCGAGTCACTTGAACACTTCACGTGAAAGTATCTATAGAAGAGAGACAAATCTCCAACCTTTCTTCAATGTTCCAGGCTATCAAGGTTGCACGTGATGTTCGCGTCTCCAATCAGGCGGATGGTTTTTTTCTGGATGGAATCCAGCAACTTTCGGGTATGTTTAGGTGCAGAGCTCCATACATGAGAACAATAGTCCAAAAAAGATTTGATCTGAGCTTTATAAAGCATCAAAAGTTGCTGAGGTGTGTACAGTTTTCTGTTTTGGAGTAGTGTTCCAAGCTTTCGAGAAGCAGCCTTTGCAATTCCAGCGACATGATTGTGCCAAGACATATTGGTGTCCGTTTTAACCCCCAATAAACTTATAGAAGCAGAAGGCGGAATTGCCTGACCTGACATTATTATATCCAGTTTGGAGACATTTATCTCTTTGGAGAAAACCGATGCCTGGGTTTTTGTGGCATTGAATTGAACCTGGTTACTCTCATCTGAATTCGAAATCACTTCCAGATCCTCATTAAGATATGCAACCTCCTGTTGCCGGTGAAGATGTGCCTCCATAGCCGATATCCTGGAATGCAAATGAAATGACGAGACAAGCTACAGCGTGTTTTTCGAAAATACTCATTTTCGAAAAGTTGCTGTAGCTGTTTCAAATGAGAGAGTTATTGATAGATTTTTTTTCAATGAGACACCCTGTATATTCCTGCATATTTCAATTGAGCTTGAAATAACCTTGCCAAAAATGTAGCACACTTGATGTTTCTCTAGAGTCATCTTTGAAATTCAGAGCTTTTAGGTTTTTTCATGTACACTTTGAAACGCAGACTTTGATCAAGTAGCCTTCGGATGACGCGACGTGGCAATAAAACAGAGAAAATTTGTTCAGTAATAGCTATCAAATGTTGGGAAAGCTTTTCACAGCAGTAATCAAAAAGCATAGTTTCAATAAACTGATAACAATTTATACTATAATTACTACTAATAAATGAAACTTCAACAATTATAATAATAGTGATAAGGAAAGAATAATGATATATATTTTTTCAGAGAAGATTTTCGAAATGTCTACCACCTTAACCTTCACACAGCTGACAACTTTTCTAAACGTTTTTTGCCGTATTAATTAGTTCAATAGGTAGGTAGGTGGGTCTAAAGTGAGTGGTTCTATTCGACCCTCCACCGCAACCCGTAAGGGTTTATTGTGGCTCACACCTATTCACACTCGACCAAATAAACCTAGCTTCGTAACGAAGCCGATTTGTTTGTATGGTGAGTGGTCTTTGAGGTCAGATGGTAAGAGTACGGATCTGCCGAACTCAAAAAACCTGATTCGGTCCCCAGCGGGGCAGGCACAAAGTATATGCTCTGATGTTTCATCATTTTCCAGACAGAGGCGACACACACTGTCTTCCGACAGTCCAAGTCTCTGTATATGATGATTCAAATGACAGTGACCTGTAAGAAGGCCTGGTAAACATCGTAGTTCATTCCTATTGTAGTCTAACAACAGTTTGGAATCAAGCTTCGAAGGGTGAATAAACGCTTTGGAGTGAGCCAATCCTGAAAGATTCTGCCAGAGGTCCATAAATCTTCTTGCCATCCAGGTGTCCAGTGTCCAGGATGCCAATGACAGGTTCTGGTCCAATGAAGCCGCTTGCAGCACCCTCCTTTGCAAGAGAGTCAGCAGCTTCATTGCCTTCCAGGCCAGTATGGCCAGGAATCCAGACCAGAGACAATCTGTTAAGTCTTCCTATCGAGGAGACTCGTTTTTGGCAGTTTGCTACCAATTTAGACGTTGACTGTCCGAGAATATTTTCATTGACTTGTGAGTGAGGTTGGATTCATCCAATCTCTCCGCACACAATTCAATAGCGTAAATTTCCGTTTGAAATGCAGCCGCATAAGTTCCTTGGCAGGTAGATAACTCTGTCCTGGGTCTGCGACTGAAAACACCTGCACCAGAACCGGAAGGTGTTTTTGATCACTGCAGCTTCCAATTCGTATTTAGAATTGGTCGGCATTTCGAAAAAATGATCTTTCTACCTTTGCTAGAGGTTAAAGTCCATAGGCGTTAGGTCCGGTGACCTGGGCAGCCAATGATTGGGTCCTTGGTTGGCTATCCAATTATTACCAAAATTTGCAGTCAAAAAAGTGGTGACGATTGCAGCGTTGTGAAGTCCCATCTTGGTGAGAATATATTTTTCGGAGCTCCATTAGCGACAATTTATCAACAAGGGGTTCAATATTCCGTCTTGAAATTTCTAAATACTTCTGAGATGTTAGAATGCCATTATATTTGAACGGGCCAATGATTCTACCCCTGAAAACATTTGCCCACACACTGAATCAAAAACTCCTTTCACTTCTCTACTCCACAATGGAACGATGATTTTGATGTCCACAATTATAAGAAATGTTGAGTTTGAAAATGCCGGCCCTGCTCATATAAGCTTCGTCTGCCCAAATTCAATTTAACGAAAAATCACTCACTTGGTTACCATTTTCCAGGAACCACTGGCAAGAAGCCATGCATATAGCTTGAATTTGTGTGTTTTCAAAACGTTAGCTCTTAGTAGGCCTGTTGATATTTTCGAATTTCACGTTGACGTTATGGGATTATTTTCAACAGCTCCTAAAACGACTATTTCTTCCAACTCCTTATCCCTATTTGATTCACATAATTTTGGCCTTCTCTTCTCAAATTAACCACCATCAATTAGGTTGTGTCCCAATTTTGTTAAATGTCTGTAAAAGGTTGTCTCTCTGGATACTTCTTGTGATACAAATTTCTTGCTGCTTCTACATTTTCCCCGGTTTGTATAAAACAGACTATCATATATCACATTTTTCATAATTATCATACTTTTTTGCGAATGTGTTTGAGAATCGAACAAAAACCACTAATTGAAGAGCGTCTTTACTGCTTAAATCAAAATTTGACAGCTACCACTAAATTGTATTATGTTTTATCGCCGCATTGTCCAAAGCCTACTTGATAAAAGTGTGCGTTACAAAGTCTACATGAAAAAACTAAAAGCTCTGTATTACAAAGATGACTCTAGCAAAACATCAAGTGTGCTACATTTTTGGAAAAGTAATTTTAGGCTCTATTGAAATATGCAAGAATATACAGTGTGTCTCATTGAAAAATTGTTTTCCATCAACAACTATTTATATCTCATTTGAAAAAAATTAGTGTTTACACCATTGAATTCTTCGTGGAAAAGTGCTTCATAAATGTTTCCATAGAAACAAGAATTTTTTTACAGGAAAAAAAATTACAGCAACTTTTCGAAAATGTGAAACTCAGAAACGATGATAGATATCGATATGCGGTTTTGCCATTAGGTTTGTCATAAAATTTGACCCCCAGACCCAACAATTAGTTTGAAAACAGGAGTTTCCCTTTAGAAGTATCCAATTTGGCCCTCTCTATTAAAAATCATTAAATATACTGAATGCAAAAAAGTTCGGTTCATTGTGTACAGAAACAACAATATGAAAACTCCCCCAGTGTAATTTATCGAGAAAATCATTCAGCAAAACAACTCTGTAAACTTCATTTATAATGAGGAAAGTTGAAACTACCCATTTTGAGGGGTGGTTTACCCGTGTAATTTTTACACACATTTAAACCTGAACCAGTTTCTTTCACATCTTTATAGTTTTTGGATTGTCAATTTTTCAAAATCAACCCGATTCAACTTAGTTACATTGCAAAAGAACTCAACTTTACTGTTTGAAAATTGCCTTTACAGAAGTGTTTTCAAAACAAAACCGAAATTGAATGTAGGATAAAAAAAATTACCTTTTTTCTGATCCCTACCACTTTTCAATCATTCAAAACGATTTTGTTACAAATAAAAGTGGTAGAAAACATAGAAAGTTTCATTTCTGTTTTCTTCATTATACATTTTGGGCTTTCAGACCCCTCTTCTTTTTATTACTAATAGATGATCTGCCAGGGGTAGTTCAGGACTCGCAATATGTACTATTCGCGGATGATTTTAATTTATTCAAGGAAATAAAAAGTCAAGAAGATGTGATTTTGCTACAAAATGACGTAGATAGAGTTAACGAGTGGTATCTGTCAAATCGCCCCACATTTAATGTTAACAAATGCTTTAGTATGTCAATTACTATATAAGAAAAACCACGGAATGATTTTCAGTAGGTATAAGATAAACAATGAATATTTAGCCAAGAAGACAGAATGTAGAGATTTGGGAGTTACGCTGGATGAAAAACTCACTTTTAACAACATATGACCAACATTATAAACACAGCATAAAAATAATTCGCTTCATTATTAAAAACTCATTCAAATTCACAAAAATATCGACATCACTAACACTTTATAATGCATTTCTCCGTAGTATAATGGAATATGGTGCAATAATATGGACTCCTTATTATTCAGTTCATAAAAATGAAATTGAAAAGGTACAGAAAAAATTCTTGAGATTTCTACATTACAAAAAAGATGATGAATATATTTCCAATCTCACTTGCATACTTCCATGAATGAATTTAAATTCACAACCTCAGAATTTAGAAGAAAACTTGCTTTTCTATTATTTTTCTATAAGCTCCTGTATGATAAATTAAACTTGTTGTTAAAAATTTATCTGAACTGCAGTAAATACTTCAGTAATAGAAGGAAAGTTATATTTGTTTTGCCTAAACCTCGAACCAATCTAGGTTTAAATTCGCCACTATACAATATGTGTTCTCTTGCAAATTGTTTGAGAAATATAGATTTCTTCGTCAGGTGTAATGGAAAAACATTTTTAAAAAATATTGAAATTGAGATGTCATCCTTAGAAATTATTACTAATTGTAAAGAGTCAATCTAAATGAAAAAGGTCCATTTGTCATTTTCAACTGAATGTGTCTTTGAATTTGATTTTGATTCAGGTGATTTGGAGTAACTTCAGTCTCAGCCATTGTATTATATTGAGAATGGTTATTTGTTTAGTTTTTGATATTGTAATTGATTATTGGAATTGCTTGTTATGTAGATTACTCAATATATAAAATAAAACATTGCTTCACTTGAACGGTATTTTTGCTCAAGAAGCAATGTAAAATTAAAACACGAAAATGTGTTTGATCCATTGTTTTGAAAATGAAAAGTGGTGTCACTCTTAGCACATAACTCACAAACTTATGAGTAGAATATCATGAAATTTCAACAGCTTTCTTTTGAAGGTTATTAACTAACTGAATAAAACCGGTGAATGCAATAAGACTAGTGCCATCTAAGTGCTAGGCACGAAACTTTCAAGCCCATGTAGTATTTGTTGTAGGTATATTTTGACGTTTGTGATCTATATTGCTTTTTCACGGACTTTCTGTATCACATTGTGATTCTGAGTGAAATGATAAAATTTATTAACCTCCTAACCTAGCCTAATCCCCAGGAAGCGTTGATTCAACTTTTCTGGCAATGATAGCATATCAAAAGAGATTAAATGAATTTTGGTCGAAATATTCCGATAAGAAAACCTTAACAAAATATTTCGAAAAACTATCTCCATATAGAAGTGGTGTGCGTTTTTGTATATATGCATATATGTATCAGCAGGTGTAGGGACAGGTAGGGTAAAGTGGCCACCCTAAGTTTTAAACCCACGCCAACCGAATAAATGTCAACATTTTGTTAAAATACAATCCAGAGATTTCGATCACTAATAGTAGTTGTACGTCAAGACGGGTGTGTAGACACTCCGGTTGAAGTTGACAGCTGGCGATTCCATGTTGTCTGGCTAGTTATATATTTTGATTTTACATTAAGCTAAAATAAAGTATTCCACGAACTAAAATGCCGTGTTTCACTGCATAACTCTTCACATTTTTACCGTTTGTTTATTATTATCCGTGTACTTATTAAGTTTCGATATCATATTGTTTACAGATCAATATTCTGATAATTTTAGCATAGTTCAAGATTGAAGTCGAAATGGGAAAGTGACCACTTTACCTATCCTGGTCGGATAAAATGGCATATACAAATTCATTAACGGGTAAAATGGCCTACTTTAAATAAAACATCAAGATGATGTTATTTTAATACAGATTTATTGAAATTTTGCATGGAAAAAATATTTAAATCCAAACAGTTTTTAACTCAATAAGTAAATTAATTCTACATAGTGATTCACAATAATCAAGAGTATTTTAATTTTCTTGATCTAAATATACTTACGTTTACCCATCATAAACAGTCTTTATTTACCTACTTATCAACAGCCTTTTATATTAATTGTAAAAATTAAGTCTTAACTTGTTAGCTTCTTCTCAATTATTCATTAATGACAAATTAAATCAACTTTCAGTTACTAATCTATAGAGTATAAGTCACAACCTCTTCATTTGTATTTGTTCATTCATAATCGAACCTAATAGAAAATATTCTTAGGAACAAAATTCACAATGAAAGTTATCATTGTTGTGATCACAACCCGAGCACTCTTCATGGACCCATCGCTTACAACTAGAACACTGTATCCAACCATCTTCATGTTTTGATTTAGACCAAACTTCGCCACAGTGAAAGCATTTAGAGTCATCATCTGTGTCATCATCGTCGTCGGTATATTTGTTACTTTTATTTTTTAGCAATGTTCGTGCCAAGTTTTTTATTTTAGTTTTATGTTTTTTCGCAGTTTTAGTTGGGGTTGGTTAGCTTTTTTCACTCTCTTTGTGCTGGTTAAAATTACCGTACGCCCCCTTTTTCTATACAGTTCAAGTTTAGTCTAGTCTTAGGCAATGCTTTGGGAATCGGAAATATGTTGCAAGAAGATACTGCGAAGGATATTCTGGGTTGAGGGTTTGAATAAGGATCAAATGTTGGAGGAGTAACTGCAGCTGGTGTATTTATATTAATGTCCTGATTCTTCCTCTTGTTTTGGACTAAAAATTGAACGACGAGACCCCAGTATTTTTATATTTTCAACGGCGTCTTTGTTTTTTCCATTTAGACGCCGTTTGAGCGTTGTTCGAGGAACACCGAAGGCTTCGCTTGCTTTCAAAAAGCCCATTTCACCTTTTCGTACAGCTTGTATAGCTTTATACATTACCTCTGACCTGCATTCCTGCTGGTGTGACGTCCGTGTGTATTTATTTAGCATACCCGCAATAACACAAAACATTACTTGTTTGCAGGAAAAATAAGCACTAAGGAGTTAAAGTGGCCCACCAGGTCACTTTACCTTACCTATTGGTGGGCCATTTTGCCCGATTTAGCATGCGGTGAAAAAAATAAACAGAAAATGACAAATGAGCTTATATTGATCCACTTTGCAGCGAAATGAATAGATCAATTAATTCACTAAATCGATAAAATCGTGCATTGTCTTTCTATGAAACTGATGACATTACTTTTTAACTATATTCAAATCACTTACTTTAGATCAGATACTACAAAACACAATTATTTCACCATAAAAGCACAGACCCGGCCAGTGTTTATGGAGACTACCAATACAACCAATAATTTATTTCCATATGTCTTTGACAGATAGCTATTACTGGTTCGGACGGAAAAAGAAGGTGACCACTTTACCTGCCTGGACCACTTTATCCATCCTTCCCTACCTAAGTGCATCATTATCAAATAAAATTTATATCAGTTTTTCATTATGTGCTTGTTGTTTGGATTGTAATTATGCTATTTTGGTGGTTGTTTTCTCTGGTTAGCAAAGTATTTTCTACCTATATTCTGCATTGCAATGAAGATAGGCTAGATTGTGAATGGCAAAAATATTCCAAAATCGGTCGAAAAACTCTTCAAAAAATGACTATCATTCATTGAAATGAAGCAGAAACTGGTCAGTTCATCGTCTCTTCGCACATCTCTTCAAATTCAAAGCTGCACAAGTTTAGTTCAATGGAGCCAAAAAATGAATTGAACCCATCAAGCATGTCACGTTGTTTGAAAACTCACCTATATTGTATTTTTGTTTATCATGGCCACCTGTCTTTTGCACGTGATATACGAACAACACTAAAATAACTCCTGTCACCACCATTTTCATTCAGTTTGACTACGACTGCCGTAAACAACCAGCCACTGAACTGTTTATGAACTTGAAACCGCCATTCACAACTGCAGTTATCATTTCAACATTTCCTGAACCTGCAGTTTCTATCGCGTTGAAGTATTAATCGATTTGGGCGTCAGCATGTGCGTTTCTTCAGTTGGCCTCATGAGAATAAACGCATATTTTTAGACAAGCACATGGAAAAATTTGCCGTGTTATATTCTGACAGCTAAGCCGTTAATTTATAGGTTCATTTTATGTTAGCTGAATATAGGTTTTTGTTTGTGACTCTGGAGATGTGCCAAAAATCGAATCTTACGGCTAGTTTGTCGACAAAGCAAATTTGGTAGCTCTGATACAATTTCAAAATTCACAGAAACATGTGGAAATGGTCATAATTGTTCAATACAATTCAGTTCAATGCTTCGAGAAAAATTATATGAATAGAAAGAATATATTTTACGAAAATCACAATACAAAATACATTTTCAAAAGCCAATGAAATTTAACCAGAAATGAGAACAGTTTTTTCGGAAATTTTGGGCATGAAGCCTATGTCAGCGAAGTTCCTTTTAAAATTGCTGATTCTTGACCAAAATAACCGTCGCATTAACATCGCTCAGGAATTGTTGAATGACGTCAACAGCGATTGAGATTTGCTTGAAAGGGTCATAACTGGTGAGAAATCATTAGTATATAGTTAGGACATCGAAATCAAAGTCCAATCGTCAATGAAATGTCAAGATTTTGCTCACTGTTCTTCGATTACCTTAACGTAGTGCATCAGGAGTTCTTGTCTTGTCAATAAGGAATATTATTTTGAAGTTATGCGTTGCTTGCGAGAAGCGATACGAAGAAAACGCCCGGTATTGTAGAAAAACAAATAATGGCTTTTGCATCATAATAATGCACCTGTTCACTATTCATTGCCTATTCGTAGTTTTTTGGCCAAAAACAAAACCGTGATCATGCTTCAGCCACCGTATTTACCAGATTCAGCCCTCTGCGACTTTTCTGCACCCAAGATTGAAAAGACCCATGAGAGGACGGCGTTTTGCGACGATTGAGGAGATGAAAAGCAAATCGCTGAGAGAATTCAAGGACTTACCAAATAGTGGATATCAGAACTGCTTTGAGGATTGAAAAAACGCTGGCACAAGTGTATTATATCTGAAGGGGGCTACTTCGAAGGAGACAATATAGAAAATGATGAATAAATAAATATTTTCTGAGAAAAATGATAATTCACTTCTTTTTTGGAACAGATCTACATTTTATCTGCCGGTTTGTTTGATCATGAGACTAGACTGTAGGTGCATTGTATAATCAAGAATATAGACATGAATCATAAAAATTAAAATTTTTAATACAAATGCCTCATTGTATGTCAAAAAACTATCATATGTTTATGAGGTTCGAGTAGAAAACTTCAATGTTGCTTTCCCCGTCGAGAAAATTGTGACCTAATGTCATGTGATTTGCCAATGATATAGATTCAGTAATCAATGGCACTGGGAGAATATATGAGTGATGTTAGAAGAGATATACCTTTGTGGTTAGTTTATATACAAAGGAAATACGATAGTTTGTAAACGTCTGTAGAAAACCGGTTTGATACGATCACCAGTGACATCTAGCGTTTAATATTTGCACTTTTATAAAAATTCCACCCTTGATTTTCTTATCGAACAAGATCTTTCAAATGACAGAGATCACAGTTTTTGTTTTGCCATTTATTATCGTTATAGCCAAATAAAAATTTTAGCCAACAGCAAAAACAGTTTTGAGTGAGCTTTTATTGTTAGGTGTGTGTAATGAAATTACAATTACATTCATCTTCTGAAACAGAGATGGCATCAATCACGTTCACAAAAAAGTACTAAAACTAGATATCTGTGATATGGAATTTCAATATTTTCAGCTTTTGAAATACAGATGGCAATAAATTACGTTCACAATAAACTGTTGAAACATGGATTCCTGTATTTCTGTGTCTTGAATTCCGGACCTAGACACAGACACTTTTTATCAAATTAAAGAGATCAACATCAACATGCAAAATGGCTCCTAACGTGTTGATAGTGGCCCTAAGAGAAAAATGTCATTTTTGTTATGAGTGAAGTTGCCAGAAATGTACTGAATGTTTACTTAGTGTCAAAATATCAATTGAAGTATAAATATCTCCACACATTCCGTAAAAAGTCCTTTAAATGAAATCAATAGCCAAAAGAAATTTCTGAATTATTCTGTGCCAGTGATATCAGAAGTGTCTTTGTGAGGTGAGATACAAATATTCCAAATTTTTTGTAGTTATTTGATTCATTGAAATAAATATTTGAACTTGCTTTCTGAGAGAAAATTCTTTACCTTTTTGGAAAAACATGTTTTGGGCTTTCTATATGATCTTATAACACAATTATTTATAAACAAGCACTTCCAAAGAATGGAAGATGAATAACAAAAATTAAGATAACACTTTAGCAAAAAAAAAGTGTAGATTGTCAACAGAAACTTCTATCGAAACTGAAAGAATACTCAATCTGAAACAACTACTATGTGGATATTGAATTATACAGAAATCACTTTCCTTTCTCAGTTTCTACACAAACACAACTTGAAAAATATGGTGCAAATGTCTTTCGTGGAAAATGCTTTATAATAGTGCTATTTTAGGGTTCCTAGAAAGTGGTACCTTAATTCCTTCAAAATAACTCCAAAATACACCTAAACTTTGACAAACTGAGGATGATTGTAACTTCGAAAACTGATACTTGATATTCATTTCAAATGTGAATAACTATAACTGCAATCCATCAAAAAATACTAAGAAAATTGGCCTATGTAGTCATTGAGAAATTGAGTCCTTCCTGAAATGATTCTCTCTCTAGTCTTGAATCTCAAGATTTTGTTGGCTTGCCATACTACTTGTGGAATATCCAATGTGGCATGAGCTGTGTGGAATATCCAAGTGGAACGTAGTGCCACACAGCTCATGTAACATGGGATATTTTGCACAAGCTTTTTGAGGGCATGGTCATCTCATGTGGAGGTGATGTGAACTAGTCACTGAGATCTCACGATTAGACCCCATTAGACTTTTGTGAGGTTTTCTTAGGTCGCAGGTGTATGCGAATAAGACATAAACCACAACATAACCAAGTATGGTCAATTTCCAAAGAACTGTTTGATAAATACTTCCATCTAGATTTGAGACTTTATATTGATTCACACCTCTTAGCTTGCTTCATTAGCCATCTCGTTTTATTTCATTAAACTCGATGACATCTTTAAATTTCAATACGTATGACAATTTGGGATGATCTACTCATTTTCTTATGGAAACATTGAAATATTAAGAGGAAAGTAAAAGTATCAATAAACTTTTGTTTTGAAACATTTTATTTTGTAGGTGATAGGGGCAATGTAACATCTCAATAACAATATGGAATCCCCTTTTGAAGAAACATGTTCCCAGAAGCCAAGTCTACTAGATTCATTTCCTTACATCAAAAATGAATTACCAAAATACATCTTAGATGATAACTTGATGAAAAGTGGCTTCACTAGCGATGAAGATAGTTTCAATGAACCGCCGATCACCTTTGACTTCAATAATGAAAGCGACAGTTGCGAAGAGCTGGACTCTCTCACAAAAACCGTGCGCAAAAACAGGAGGAAGGCATCTGCACCTCAAAGAGCCATTCAGATAGAGTCTAGCCAGACCGGTTCTATTGAAAACAGCTCAGAGTCATCTCAAGATAACACAGACAGTTTGAACTTTGGTAATATTCAGAATCTGAGTTTGAGAATGAAAGATGACTCTCTGCTTGATTTTGGTGATAGCGAGGAGCTCTGTGATGACTTACTTCAAAATATAAGTGAAGATGATATTTTTAAAGACTTGCAGGAGGAAGCAGGTGAGGTTTGTCAAATATATCTTTATTGGACAATAATGATTGGTAGTTGTACCGTTACCTTTTGAAACTTTTATTTTACCTATACCAAATTTCATTTCATAAAGTACTTTTCTGAAAAAAAAATTCAACCAGTTAGATTAGATTAGATTTTTTATTGGTCAAGTTATTACACCTTAGTGCTATGATAAGTCAATAATGTATAAAATAAATGTTAATTACAATTAAAATTACCGAAAAGGAGTAGGTAGTACTTACATAAAAATTGTATATGATACAAGCAAAAAATGAAGTAAATAAATATATAAATGTAAAAATAAAGATACATAGAGACAGTACCTACATTGACGATAGTCACTCTGTAAAGCTGAAGTCAGACGCATCATAGTAAGCATTCTCTGAGAGATGTTTTTTCAGTTTCCGTTTGAAATTAGCGAGGGTTGCATTTTTCATTGATTGGGGCAGTGAGTTGTACAATGATATGTATGAGTTACATCTCCTTGTTATTTCTAGTCTTTGGTTTGGTGGTCTAATATTATCCTTGTTCCCAGTATTATACGAATGGTTGTTACCGTTTGTAGTAAACTTTTGTAATTTTTTTTGAATGTGTATCAAATTGCAGTATATTACACATGATGGCAGAGTTGATATATTGAACTTGATAAACCAATTCTTACAGCTCTCCATTTGACCTATTCCAGGTAAAGCTCTGATTGCTCTTTTTTGAATTTTAAATATTCTCGAGATATGAACAGATGTGCCCTAGTTTATCAATCTATAAATCAAGGAACTATGAAACATTGCATTATAAGCGGTATAGGCAGCTTCATTATTTTTTATCTGCCTGATTGCATAGACCTTGCATGATAGATTTTTTGCTAGTTTGTCAATATGAGTTTCCAAGTTAACTTTGAATCAATTGTTATACCAAGACAAATATTATGAGACAGCGAGAACATAACTGTTTGTGTCTTGCTTTTATTCACACATAGGCTATTCGCATTAAACCAGTCCCTAGCATCTTGAATAACTCGCTTTTCTAATTCTGATGACTCTTCAATATTTTTTTCCGAATGGCGAAGGAAGTGTCATCGGCAAATAGCATTGTAAACATTGTCTTTGAATTTGACAGGTCATTAATATAAATCAAGAAAAGTAGCGGCCAAACCACACTACCTTGTGGAACACCATTCAGTATCGTTTGTAAGCTAATGAGTTCTTCATTATATGATACACATTGCTTTCTCTTATTTAGATAGGATGCTAGCAGATTGTGTGCTGTGCCTACAAGCACTAGTAACTATTATTCATAAATTTTACCTACCAAACAAAACATTAATTTCTAGTCCAGTATTGAGGGTGCTAGCTGAATATCCAAATTAGAGAGAGAAAAGTACTTTTGAGTTGATAGTTCATACTGGAGAACCTTTGGCGATTTTGAGTATTGAATCAAAAGAATGAAACATGCAAGGTTCATCCCCTTTCACAATCACAATCATGTAACAAAAAATATTCAGGATGAAAGGCATAAACGAGGACATAAAGCATGAAAGTGTGGTATCACAAGTTCCAACAGTAATAATAAGTTTTCATCACATTTCATGAATATGTCATTAAAATCTATTCAAATAATGAAAATCATTTGCCAAAAATGTCAAAATCAAACTTCTTTATTTTTATTTATATTCCAGATGGTGAAACTCTAGACGATGAAATGATCGACAATGTCAAGGAAGAATGGAGAGCTCATTGGGGTGTGAAATGCAACATGTGTGAACAAGTATTTCCATTCAAAACTGAATTTGACAAGCATTACATTTCTAGTTACAACTTGAGCCCTGTATATACCTGCACGTTTTGCAATAAGTCAGCTGAGAAGTATTCAACGTTTCGATCGCATTGTTATCGACACATTACTGAGGGTCGTTACAAGTATGTATGATCCTTTATTGTTATTTTTGACAATGGTAATTGAATGAATTATTGTCACGTTTTTATGGGAATATCATATTTATCACGGATTTTCCATGAGTTAATGTAATTCTGTATAAATTTGCAGTTTGTGTTTGAAATTTTTAGTAATTTTGAGTCTGCCTGTTTGATTTCAAAGAAATTCGGTATTATCCGGTAACTTTGAATGCTGACAATAAACTTTTCAGCAAGAGAACATTAGACAAAGCTATTCCAAATTTGAGGTTAAAATTTAAAATTGCTATATAAAATTTACTCACTGTCAAACATGAAGTTTATTAGTGGTGAAAAATTAAGATATTTGAGCAGTGGTCGTGTCAACAGAATGGCTATTTGATATTTTGCATAAATATTTGGGGCTGTCGAAGTTCACTGCCAAGTGGGTACCACTAAGTTGAACACCTTCTTCTAACCATTATTCTAATACAAGAAACCGAAACGAATCGAAACAGTGAGCAACTTTGGGCAAATCGAACCCGAAGAAAGCCAAAGTCTTACGTGTAACTCACATCTACTGCCTTGAAAAAGGCAAAATTGTCACCAGCGTATTCTTTTGATTTGGCTCCATCCAACTATTATTTACTTCCAGACTAGGAAAAATGATTCCATGGTAAACGATTTGGGCAAGGGAGGAGATTATTACAGAAACAGGGACTAATTTTGAGGACCTCTAGAGCTTAAAAATGATTATTTTGGGAAATAAAACTAGCTCTGTCGAAAAATGTTATGCTTATTATTAATCCAACCTGGTAAATCACCTTTTTTGCAATTAACCAAGGGAAAGTCTGGTAGAGTAATAGTAATAATAATAAATAATTTTATTGCCAGAAGAATTTATCTTATTGACAAAGCGGGTGTGAATAAGATAAAAATGTATACAAATTGGTTCAAATGCATGCAAAAGTATATAGATCTTCATGTGAAATATTTTGAAAAACAATAAGGTGATTTTCGATGATTAATATTTGTTTTTGTTCTTTAATCCCAAAATATAAAAGGCAACCCTCGTAATGTACTGAGATATTATCCAAAGAATAGCTCTTTCTAGTTAAATATCCACTTTTTTTCCGCTTGACGAAAAAAAGGATGCTGTAAAAAGTATGTCTTTTAGCGCATATTTGGTTGGCCTATGTGTATTAATGGTCCCTACTTTTGTAAGTTGGTTGACTTTGATGTTTTTGGCATCCATGTTGACTATCAACAGCGTAATTCAGTTGCTTCTGTTGAAAGAAATTTTAAATTCAAAATGAAGATTTAGTTAGTTCTTCGGAGCCGATATTTTTAATGAAAATACAATTGAAAACACATTTTGGTCAGGTCAAGAATTTTAAATAGAACATGTGTATATTTTCATATATACATAAGATTCTCTTTCAAACACTGTAAAACAAGTGATCGCTTCTTTTAAAAATGGCGCCATAGGAGTCATTTTATCAAAATCAATATGGCGGTGCCATGACGTCATCCATGAAAATATTGGGAAACAACTTGATGTTCTGAGAAACAAAAGCCGCTGTTTGGTCAGTTTTCAAATAACAATTTGAGAATTGAATTGAATGTTTTCACTAGTCGTACCCTTTCTTTAATTTTTTAATGCATTTTTTCACTCCATTCATCTTGAAAATTTCAATACGAAGTGTGATTATCAAACTTAACAAACAAAAAAAATTATGTGATTCAAAGCTTTCCACTTTATCTTATTAAAAAGCAGTTATTGTAGAAAGTGTACTTTTTCTTTGTACTTTGTACATGAAAAATACCTCTTCCTATTGAGATTTTTGAGATGAATTTACTTCAATCACCTCGAAAATGGCATTTAAAGAAATAATGAAATGTACCTACGTGGATTAATGAAAATTTTCAGTTTTTGAATTTTCATTTATGAACTGTGCAAACATCGTCTCTTTCATTTCTCATAACATTAAATTGTTGACAATATTTCCCTTAATGACGTAATAGTTTCGCCATATTGAATTTGGAGAAAATTGTTCTCATGCTGCCATTTTGAAAGAAAATGGTCACTTGCGTTATATCCTATCAAATGGCCCAAAAACATCTAAAGAGTTCTATTTAAAATTCTCCTCATATTTAGTCCATTTCCGGTTGAACAAAAAAAAGATTTTTCCAACTTTTTTGATAATACAGGTCTGCGATGAAAACATTGTAGGATATTTAATTAGTGATTTTCATAGTATTTTGTGTGCAAATTATGGAAAACATAGTACAAAAATTCTATCACCTATAGATGAGTCACAAATTTCACCTGAAATTTTCTTATTAAATAGGTTTTTACGTTCATTATGGGTTCGATGTTTCTGTATTATATAGCCTATATAAGCAGTAAATTGAGTCTGAATTATGAAGCTATGGAGTGATGACAGCTACGATCCAGGTACCAATGACTCTGAACTTTTCTTTCAATCAGAGTTGAACGATTTCGTACGAGATCTGGGCCTCCCAAAGGACTCAGCAGAAGTTTTAGGGTCTAGACTTAAAGAAAGGCATATGTTAGCCTCCGGTGTTTCATTTTCATGGTAGGTACCGATTTAGAGAAAGGAAATTTGTCCCTTTTTTTACACAAGAGGGTGACCTAGTTGTCTGCAACAATGTACCTGGCATCATGGAAATGTTCAACATAACGTATGAACCAGACAAATGGAGACTTTTCATCGATTCATCAAAAAGAAGTGAATGGGATAGCCGTGACAGGAAACAACACTATGTCAAGCAAGTGTGACCAATAAGAAAGGGTATTATTCCTGGAGTTAAAAATGTTGAAAAACAAAGTTCAGAGGATTCAAAAAAATCTCCACCACTCCTTATCAAATTGGGGCTAATGAAACAGTTTGTGAAAGCATTAGACAAAGAAGGAGATTGTTTCAAGCATCTTTCTGAAAAGTTTCCTGGTCTATCCCATGCTAAACTAAAAGAAGGAGTCTTCGTTGGGCCTGACATATTACCACAATAAAGAAAATGTCCATGTGTGTAAAAGGTGGTAATGAGACATAAGAATATAAAAATCAAGAAAAAAATTACACAAAATATAAAAATTGTATAAGTTATTGCAGATACTAGATGGAACTTGTAATTTAGTTTGACACTAACATTAATTTTATAATGAGTGTTAGTGGAAGTTATTGTCATAAAATTCGTTCAAACTATAGTAGGGTCTATCAGAGAGTAAAATTTTGATTGCTTTTCTAAATTCTGGTTGAATAATTTTAGGCCATTGTAAGTTACTGAGCTTTTAGTAAGTGTCAAGGTGGGTATAGGCAGTCTGAAATCGTCAGTCTAACCAGTGGAATAGTTAAAGGAGATCAAAGGAAATTCATCTCTATTCTTGTTTATCAAACTGGCCGTTTCTAATATCAAAATCACATAAACTGTCAAAATATTATTTCTGATGAATATAGGCCTACAGTAGAACAGTAGACTTGTTGTTTTATTTATAAAGTATCCTTCTCTTTTGAAGTACAAATACAGAATTCATATGGGTTCTAGAACATACTCTACAGAATGGAATTCCATATCTCAAGTGTGACTCTTCTAATGAATAGTGAACAGATTTACCTGTAGAAGATCTCAATTCTCTAGAAGGTATTCTTACTGCATAACAACTCAAAGAAAGTTTTTTAGTGAGATTTCTGGTGCCGTCTTCAAATCTCAAGTCGTGTATGATAATACCCAGGAATTCGGTGCTTAATTTATTCTCGATAACACTTTCACATTGATAGTAATAGGAAAGTTATTAATAGAACCCCGAAAAGATATCAAATTACTTTTGTTGATTATTCAAAGATAAGAGATTAGCATCGCACCAGTTCTTGATAATCCTGATATCTAAAGATATAACCTTGTGGAGATCTGAGGTATTTTACTGTGCCATAGTATTTTGGTATCATCTGCGAATAAAGTAAACTTTCATTTTATATTCAACGATGTCAGATCATTTATTTACAAAAGAAAGATAATGGAACTTTGTTTTTCATTCTACTGGTGAAAATCATGGACAGATCAGTGGAACATAATGTTATGTTCCAGGTGCCAAGAGTGTCCCAAAGGTTTCAGCTTGCAGAGCATGCTGCACGTGCACATTATGGCCAAACACACCAAAGCAAAACCTTTCATGTGTGAGGAATGTGGCAAAAGTTTCGTCACAAAACCCGGTCTGAAGATTCACATGAAAAAACACAAGACTGAAACGAAGGAAGACTACCCTTGCGTGGAGTGTGGAAAAGTGTGAGTTTTCCTCTTCGAAATATTTACATGTAGTGAAAATAAAAATTGTAATGAGGTTGTACGCCGTTATTGATTTTTGAATATATTGTTTTTTAGATTGCATACGAGAGGAGGTCTGACTTCTCACATGAATGTTCATAGATTGGGGAGGAGATTCATGTGCGACGTTTGTGGAAAAACTTTCACTCAAAAAGTCAACATGCAACAACATGTCAAGCAACACACTGGTGATAAACCTCATGGATGTGTCAAATGTGGAAAAACGTAAGTGCCCAAACATATGTCATAATTAAAAACTCCAAATAACAAACTATTCACATATAGCCTTCTGAATTTTCATATCCCACCTCCTTCTCCTGATTTATTTATTTATTTAGCGAATGGATTCTTTACAATGCGATAAAAAGAAACTGTGAGTGAAAATAAAAATATAAACAATAAAATATAAACAAGACGTAACACTTATAATATCAAAAATCCTCCGACAAACAATACATTAACGTCCAAATTGCACAGCCATTCGATTGCATTGGGAGCATTCTGCGTAGTCCTGTAGGTTTCCGCCATTAGCATGGACTGAAACGATATGGCAGATCGTTTTGTCTCGGTGATCTACAATCGCATTTTAGATTGTCGGCAAAGCCCCATCAGTATAGGGATTGAGCACTTTTACCTTGTCCTGTCCGTATTTGATTCAGCTTTGACCAAGTGGAATGTGGGAGGACTGAAGAAGGCGTTTTTCATTAAAAAATGTTTTATCCTTATTTTGAATATGTTAATAGGTAGAGATCTTATTTTTAGTGGTAATTTATTGTAAAATTTCACAGCCCAAAAATTTGGTCATCTTTTTTAAGCGGCAGTAGTTTGTACTCGAATCATTTTTATGCCTAGTGTTGTGGTTGTGCACATTTTCAAAACTTCCATATTGAGATAGAACTTTTTATGTATATTAAGTTTTCATGATATTTTGGATATAATGGATTCATACAAGGAAAAATATGCCGTTTGAAGAGTAGCTTTTGAAACTTGTCTGGAGTAAAAAATAGATTTCTCATGAGCTTTTTTGATAGTTCATTTATGTGATGATCCCATTTTAACTCACTGTCAAAATGAATTCCCAAAAATTTCACACTACTTTGTGAGTTTGAGTAATTTTCCATATTTCTTAGAGTGAATACCATGTTTTGGGTTTTGTTGTTATTCAGATATAATTCGTTTGCTTTGAACCACCTTTCAGTTTGTGACTGTGCTTCAGAGGATAATATAAGTACCTCATCTAGAGTTTTAGCATTTGTTTGGATTGTAGTATCGTCTGCATATAAAATATATGATAACGAGTTCTCCCAATATGGTAGGTCATTAATGAAAATTATGAGTAGTAGAGGTCCCAAAATAGATCCTTGCGGTACACCAGTTGTAAATTTTTTCTTGTTGATAGAGAATTGCCCACTTTCACAGTTTGAAATCGATTTTCTATGTATATGTTGATCAACTTTATAGTGTTGTCAGAAAAATTATATAGTTTTAATTTATTTAAGAGAATTTCATGTGATACACAATAAAATGCTTTGCTTAGATCACAAAAAGTTATTACTGTATACTCTAGTTTTTCAAAAGTTGTTGTTATTTTGTTGCTAAGATCTAGTATCGCCATTTCAGTGTTTCTACCTTTTCGGAATCCATACTGGCAGTTTGTGAATATGTTATAATTCTCAAAATGATGTACAATTTTTAGAGCTATACGTATACATGTCACCCCAACGAAATGAGTTGCTCAAGTCTAGATTTTAACAATTCTACACCCCAAAATCTATCGACTACTCTATAAAGTTCAAAATTTTACAGATTTGCTGAAAAATCGCACTTGGTTCGTCACTATAGTTTCCACAGCGAGGAACGTCCCTTCAAATGTGAAGTGTGCCAAAAGATGTATAAGACTGAAAGATGCTTGAAAGTTCATAGTCTTGTCCATGCAGCAGCTAGACCTTTCGTGTGCGGATATTGCAACAAGGGATTTTTAAGTAGTACTAAATTGAAGGTGAATTTTTTATTAAATATTCTGTACAATTCCATTATTTTGTAAATGGATTACACTTAATATCTTATGAAAATCCATTATAATGTATTAAAAAAAAACACTAATGTGAGATTATACTTGACAGTTTACAAAACCATGTCGCTTGTTTCGCTATACAATATCATCTTCAAGCGTCTCTTATAATAACGCATGAAATGGTAGAAATTATTCAAATTTGAAAATTGAAACATTATTTAGTTTTGAATTATCGGACACAATACTAAAAATGAGGCAAAGGAGCGGACACGAGCTTCTAGCTTGTTAACATCCGGTGTTAACCTCAATTTCCATACGGATATTTTTCCTTAAAATTATTATCAAGTATGTATATATTTCATGATTTGTTTTTATATTGGTCTATAAACAATGATCATTTTTGAGTCATTTCGTATTACAAGTAAATTCATTGCACGATGTCACAGCCTAATCGAACACTGTAAAAGAGCGTCGTCCGCGAAGCTTGAAAGAAGTGCAGTACAGATACGTATCTCATGGTGTGTTCAGTGCTACAAAGTATTCGACCCGTTTAGTGCTTCTCACTACTATCTATAGTGCCCTATCGCTCCCCAAAAAACAATTTTACTGTGTCACCTTTAACCAACAAAAAACTACAGTACACTTTTCCGGGGAATTGAAAAGGAAAACCAACAAACAAAGAGAACAACGAGATTGGGTTATCATATCAATTCAAATATTTCAAGTGTTCAATGAACATAGCTCCGGTTGGTGACTCCTTGCATATGTGTACTTTTTGGCAAACGAGAGTTGCCCTTCCTCACATTTGGCTGCACCATGATGACGAGGCCAATAGCCAGAAACACGTGTCCGCGGTTTTGCTCCACTTTTGAGCGTTATGTCCGCCAATCCTTTTTTATTCAGTACTATTTCTATAATGTTTACTGTAATTGACATGTTCTACACCTGGAAAGGTTTTTTATTACAAAGAACTAATAAAGGATATCTATCTATCTATTCAGTACAAGTATATATATTGTTACGTGTTTCCCGGCGGGTTAACCAATAATTGACTTTATTTCACTTTAAATACAATAAGCACTTCAACTAAAACTCAACTATTATTCGAATGTCTATCGCTTTACTAGATCGCCTCGTGTACTGCACTGTAACTTTCACTTGACTGTCGATATGCCTGTGGCTACCGTTTATATATAGTAATCGAATGCGCTAGAAAATTTCGCCGGAATTCTATCGAAATCGGTAGCATTATTATCGCTGTATCTAGAGCGGCAGCAAACATCGTACATTCGCGCGCTCTTAGCTATGTTACGACTGGTTTATGGCTACCAGTGGCGGCCGGCGTTATTTTCTTTAGGGCACGATTTACAACACTAACTATATATATCGTTGAGACTACAGTAGGCAAGAATTCCCATTGTTGCCTGGTGTCCTGTTATAACTACTTCGCAATTTTCAGCAACACTATAACATCCACACTGGAGAAAGACCTTACAAGTGTAAATATTGCGAACGCACATTTACAAACTACCCAAATTGGTTGAAGCATACTCGCAGACGACACAAAGTGGATCATAAGACGGGAGCTGAACTTGAACCTAAGGTAATTATTACCAACATTTTCACAAATAACTTTATGAGATTTTTTCTACCAAGACATGTCCCAGCTCAAACAATTCACGGACATCCACTGGATATCCAGTGAATGTTAATTCTGGACATTTATGTCCGAAGGATATTTTCTGGACTTGCAATGAGCTGAAGTATACCAAACTGTACGAGGTCTGTTGAAAAAACTAAGTGAATGTTCATTTGATTAGAGATTTTAAAATTTTTTCATATACTTGTCTCGAAAATGATATGTGAGTTTAGTTTTTTGGTGAGAGGCATAAAATTTAGAAGTGTTTTGCTTGTTTGTTGATTTTCTGCTGTGAAAAAAAAAATGGATCAAAAAATTTGCATCAAATTTTGTGTAAGAATGGAATTTAGTGCTCAAAAACACTTGAAATGTTGACAGTGGCATACGATGATTGTACTCTGAATCTGAAAATGTTTTACAAGTGGTACAAGCTTTTGATAAGTATTTTAAAAAGTATTGTTCCGTTCTCAGTAAAGTTATTGCAGCTGCTGAAAAAATGTCCAACACTGAATATATAATAAAAGCCGAAAATAAAACCAAAGCTACATGGTCATTAATCAAAAAAAAATAAAACCCAACTACCACAAAAACAATATCCTAGAAAGTTTTGCAAAAAAATATAAAGATTCACAAACTATAGTAAATCAAATCAATAAATATTTTAGTGAAGCTTGCTCTGACCCAAATAAACCTGCATCTATCAAAGCTATATTTAAAAAATGAAACAGAGATGAAGAAAGTAACTACAGACCCATATCATTATTGCCAAATCCCAGTACAATTTTTTAAAAGCTCATGAACAAATGTTTACTTAAGTTTTTAGATGATAATGTGTAGCAAAAGAACAAAATGGATTCCGTAAAGGTAAATCAACCATACAAGCAATATATTAAGCCATTGAAAAAATTTTACATCATTTGAACAAAGATTATAGTAGGTACTGTAACTTTGTGTATTGACCTGTCAAAAGCATTTGACAGTATCAGCCATGAAATTTTATGCAACAAACTCATGAATATGGAATCAAAGGCACATCTTTGGACTTAATCAAATTCTATTTGACAAACAGAACCCAACATTTGATTGAAAATGACATCTTGGGGATAATTAAATCAGAATCAATCGTGATAAAAAAAGATGTGCCACAGGGATCCATCCTAGACCCATTATTATATATATTGTACACAAATGAAATACCAAATGTAGTTAATGAAGATATTGATGATATATCAGTCCTCATAAAAGAAAAGAACTCTAAGTTGGTCATGACAAAGACAAGAAATGTATTAGACGCATTAAACAATTGCCTGACAGCAAATGACCTACTACTCAATATTGACAAAACTCAAATAATTCATTTCGCAAATAGATACTTGCCAGAGTTGGATACCTTTGAATATAATAATCAAAATGTAAACATATTCAATCAGGTAAAATTTGTGGGACTATTGATAGATAGGAGACGACTGGAAAAATCACATTGACTACTTTTCAAAAAATATTGCAAAATATTGCTATGTATTGGGAATACTATTGGAACATGTCTCAACCAAAGCTGCCTTCTCTGCATACCATGCTTATATTCAATTCAGGATAAAATATGGAGTTATATTCTGGAGAAACTCTGTTAATATATCTAGGATACTCATACTACAAAAAAAAAATGTGTCAAGTATATCTATAAGATGAAAAACAAACGATAGCTGCAGGTAAGCTTTTATTAGGAGCAAAACTTTAACTTTGATAAACCTCTATATATATAAAGCAGTAGTATTTGTAACAGAAAATAAATCAGAACTTTTCATTAACTGTGGGCAAAAAAAACACTGTCATCACAATATGAGATCATTCAACTGTTGAAATTTGCCTTGATCTTTGTGTCTTCTATTAGGGGTAGCGTAAATCAGTTTTTCAAAATTTCTCTGTCACTTTTTTCACATCACTTTAATTTGATGAAGGTTGTGAAGGAGGAGGCACCTCCAACACCAGCGCCATCTATACCGCCACCACAACAACCACCTTCACAACCAGCTCCACCCGTACCATCTCCACCGCAGAACCAAACGGTAGCAATGCCGGAGATAGCCTCAGATCTGGGGACGATCATAGGAGACGTGAGTTTCAGCAAAGCTGAGGAACTCCTTTTGCAACAAGGGTTGTTTAACTTTCCTTTGTTGGACGATAAGGTTCTTTTCAGCCAGCAAATGGATTTTCTAGCTGGTGAGTATTCCTTGTTGATTTGTTAGAGTAGATTCCTAGAATATTTGAGGTTATTTACAGGTTGGGTGAATGAAAATGAAACAAGGCTCATCGTTTGTATCTGTTCATTTTGTTGGGAAAGTCTTCTTTGTAGGTTTTCAACCTTGTCACTTCCATCTCCTCATGGGAGTGAGATCCAAACCTTGAATATTTAATGAAGTTGAAAGCCAAGAGACACTTCTTTTGAAAGGTCATCAAATTCCCTTTTCAACACTTCTTACTTTTTTAAATTCGATGCGAAGAATATAAAAAAAAATTAATGATTGAATAATCAGTAAACGTGAATGATGTGAATTTTCTTCAACTTTCAACCGAAAGTTTCAAGTATTTTTTGTGTGACATATTAACCAATTATTGATTTTATGAAATTCACTTGTATTTAAATGCAACTTCATTGTGGAATTAGTATAATCATTAATAAGTATTGAAAATGGTTTTATCCTGTTTCATAAACTACCACAGTTTTGTTCGAAGAGTTTCAGATGTTTTAAATCATTTCAGGTTTCAAATAAATATAGCCAACTCAAATCCAGTGACCTTGCAGGCACTCTACCGGTACTCTTCGATCGATTAATTTTACAGGAAAAGCTTAGATTCTGATTCAAATTTGAACAGCTAAGCTGCGGTGAAGGGAAAAGAAGTTGCTCATTTTGCTGAAATGTCAGCTCATTATAATTGTTAATAACTATGTTTATATAAATGTCTTTCAATGCAGGATTTATAGAGTCTTGTAGTAATTGCAAGTACACTTTTCCTGTAAGATTTCCTGGACCAAGTACAGAGTTGCTTCAAATTGCAGCCTACACATTTCATTTCAAGATGTTGTGTGTGAATTTCATGAACTAAGTATAGGTTTTGATCAGAACAGAATCGCGTTGATTATGATCAACAAATCCTGCTCAAAAAAAATGAACATTCATCTGAAAAACAGGTGAGGAACAGTAAATTCTAGTTATGAACTAAGTACCTCACAAAACTGAAAACTGTGGACAATTGCCTAGTACTTGAATTAGGATCAATTCTGGCTTGCTCTGTTTTCCAATACTACATTTGAAGGTTTTTTTGCCAGCCAAATGTAAGCTACTATGAGTTGGTGGCTTATATCCTGTAAGCATGCCTATCCAGATTTTGTTCACTAAAAATTGTTCTGTACTATTTGTGCAACTATCGTTTTCGTAAGAAAGTTGAATTATCAATATACGTTCCGCAGTGGAATAAAACATTTTGACCAAAATAATAAGCTGAAATAGTCTTGATCAAAATACTGTGAGATACAAAGGAATGTGAATTGTTAATAAAGTGTGTCGTTTGGCAGATTTTCTTCAAAACGTTTTCTCCCAATTTCCACTATTTCAAATGTAACATGTAGGAAGCTTTGAAAAAAATCAATTAACTTATAAGGTATCGCTTGATCCCTGATCTCTTACAATGTGTAAGGATTGATTTTTGCCTCTCAGGATAGACATACACCGAATGAAACCACTCTTTTTCTAATGCCAGTTATGAGAAATCAGCCTGGTTTTGTTTTCATTGGCTCACCCTGTAATTCATGATAATAGTAAGAAAATATTTTTCTTATCTTAACCACATGTTAGTGTTTTTACCAACTTGAAAATATAGACCGAGTTGCACTTGAGGACTTGGATAAAGTACTTTGATTTTTTATCAAACTATAAGTCGTACAGTAAAACAGTTGTTTTTTAGAATAATATTTGATGACATTCTTCAAAAGAACAATTTTTCCAAGGTTTTGTTACACTCCTATTCTTGCTTTTTAGTGTTTATAAAAATTACAACTTGGCACCTGTACATTGATGGAAATTTCAATTTTTGGCAGTATTCTGGATTCTTCTTGAAGTAATTTCAATAATGTTATAGTCGATACTGATCTAAATGCATCACTGGCAGTTGTATCACCGTATTTTTTCAGTATTCGCTTCGACACTACAATTTTTGTAGCAACTGTTTTCAATGTAGTATTCTGCAACCGAAGATGATTTCCACCCTCCTGTTCTTTTAATTGTCAGTAACTAAGCACAAGTATTTGCTAACGTAGCTGCAGAATGACAAAAACAATATCCTGTGTACAACTCCAGATTTGTCAGTTTCACGGCATCTGTTTACTTTCGCTGACATAACCTATGATAACCTTGTTATGTAGGATATTCTGGAGGTGCAAGGCAACGTACTTCCTATTAATTTCCAAAACACTCACATCATGATCTCGGTCATTGTTAGAAAACATGTACAGTCTTTCTTGGTATTCGTATCGATAAGTCTAACTATTTTTGAATTTCTGTCATTTACATCTCTCACCTTCAAATTTTAGAGGTCATCTTATTGGCATGCCCCATACAAATCCACTATTGCCACAGCCTGAAGTTATCTATAAAAAATTTGACAAGTGATGAGCTGTAATTCTAAAAATTACCTCTTCGTCTGTAGGATTTATTAACCTGTTCAGGCTCATGAATTTTGGAGTTATTGATACAGAAATAAACATTTTGGTAATGCACAAATGCTATAGCAACTCCTTAGTAACACATAGCAAACCATGATATTGAATGGATTTTGAATTGGAAAAATATTCATGAATTACTTTTTTGGAATTTTTTAGCGAAATGTGTGCTATAGTTAAAAAATAGAACATTATACTTGACAATAAAATGCTTTATAGACTTAAAGACTCTTTCGCACTTTGATAAAAAAATTCTTGTTGTTTCCATCACCTTCAATCTCACTGTACTCAACTTACTTGCAGCAAACAGCAGCAGTACTGTTGGACTGCTGGTGCCGTACTTCCAAACTACACTGCCAAGTCATCAGACAATAATACAGCATACCGCTCAAAATCTCTCCCCTATTGTATCACTGAACGATCTGAATTATGTGCATGAATTGATTGAATAATATCTCTTAGTGTGTCTCAATATCGATTTTCAAAGATTTTTTTATTGTTATCACATACTCGACATGAACCAAATTGAAAGGTTATCGAATTTTTGGCAGCTGTTTGATTATTATGATTCAATACAATTCTCAGGGGTCTGAATCATCATAGTTGAGTTAATATTTTTCTCTGTTCATTTTATTTTATTACAGAACCAGACTACTGATTTGAAATAATTTTTGAATAGTATTTGTTAAGTTCAGAATAGTCCACAAGTGCCATTTCGCCAAATTTAAGTTCGCTTTCACAGGAAATTATGATTGAGATGCCATTCAGTTCTCAATTTATGATTTAAGACCGGTCGAGTAAATAAATACCGTAAAAGTTATAAGCAATTCCGTTAAACAAAAAAGAGGGCGCTTTTTTGCAAATTTTTCAATAACTTTTGCAGAAAATTTACTGAAATTAAAAAATTATGTATTTATGGTGTTTTCATCAATGAAAAAACTAAATAATCGAGGTATTGAAAAAAATTAAATTCTTCATCCAAAACAAGCACTGTTCTCAAACACCAGAACTACAACACTCTTCTCGACGCATGTCTCACTAACTATGTTGATATCTTCAGCAGATGAAGTANCATGTATAGAGTTACTTATTTTCAAATTGATTACTTCCTTCCTTTCTTTGGAAGATTCCTTCATCCTTTTTTTTTGTATCAAGATGGAGTAGTAGAAAGCCAAAAACTTTCTTTCCCAAAAAGTGAAAGTAACTGTTTTGAAAAGGTTTTTTCGTCCAGAGTGTATCTGAAAGAAACGTCTGTGAAACTTTCTTTGAAAGTTTCCCACATTTTCTGTTCAATGATGGAGAAAACTAATCTCTGCTAAAACTATTTCCTGTTCAATTTCAGTCCTCAATTCCTCAATATTCATATTTATTGGAGGAAAATGATATTTTTTTGAAGCGCCCGAATCGGGCATTGTGTACGAGTTAAACCGCTTATTTTCGCCCGTTTTTCACCTCTTAATTGAAACTATAAATATTAGTCCTACAGTTTCGGGAAGTGAGATATATAATTTGGTAATTTTTCTGTTCTTCAAGAATCTTTTATCGACTTTTGAAAATCTGTGTTGCAGTTTTTGAAACATTTGCATTTGCAATGGAATCAATGTTTTTATGTTTAACTAAATTGTTCATGAATTTCAAACTATTTATTCGTGCAACTTGTTTGCGAAATGGCACTTGAATAAACTCTAATGTTGATTAATTGGAAAAAATCCAATAATGTCGAGTATGTAAAGCATACCGGAAAGTTCACTCTCTTCGTAAATTCTAAATGAAGATAATACTAATTGTACTCCCTTCTAAGGACAGAAGTGTAAGTAATTCAACTTTTTATTATTATCAACTATGCAAATTATGTTTTATAAAAATGTTGGAGGTCAGACTTCCATTCTCTAAAAACGTATTGACAGATTTTAAATCTAAAGGAAAATAAAAGAATGGAATATTAGAAGTAGTAAAACTGAATTTTTCGAATGAGTTAGTTATTTAGAGGAAGCTCTCGGAATACAAGAATCTAGAAACCAATAGAACTGATCATGGTATTACTAAAATGCTGTGTCTGGAACTAGTAAAATGCTGGGTCCAGAACTACTGTTTCTAGCTGAGGTGTTAACTTTTCACACAAGATGATGAACTCATTANATTTATTTTTATTCCAGGTCACAATAATTTGCTTGCTTTAAAAATTCTTTCCAGTCGTTTTTTTAATTTCCATAATCATCGCTCATTAATTTTTTGCACTTTTTTTCTGTAATTTTCAGTATTTTTAATAATTTCAACATTTCTCATAGATTTCAAATCTGTCCACCCCGTTTTTAGACAATGAAAGTCCAAACTCAAAACATTCAGTTATTTTATTTTTTTCCCATTTTAAAATTACTTCAGCTTCAGTCCAGCTCATGTAAAAATGTATTATCATTATGGGGGAGATTGTCTAAAATCATTGTTCCCTCCTTATACTCCATAGTTAGATATTTTCTCCCTACCATCGAACAATGGGAAAGGAAAATGTCTGGTATTAAATTTATCAATGTCGTATTTTTGTATCATGAAAGACCAATGAAGTCAATTGATGTTCACAATATTGTGATTTTTAGTCTGTAAATATTTGTATTATCAACATTTTAATTTTTTTAATAAACATTCCTGTAGTCATGTCTGTGTTTTTCATTTAGAACCTTCTACTCAAAAAGTTTTTTCAAAGAAGGGTAAGTACACGTAGAGGTCTTTTATAGATTCATCCCAAATTTGGTTTTGTACTGAAGATTTTGAGTAATACGTTGTCACAATACCCCAGAATATTTTTTCCACGTATGAAACTTGAGAATTGATAAATATATTTGCAAAAAATAGCGAAAATGTGTATATATTTGTGGTCCTGCGGGCCTGATTTTCCAATGATTGTGTGATAAGTACTTGTGCTGTCGAATGATTTCCATTTCAGCTCTCTGATTTCTTTGACGGTGTTTCGCGATATATTTGTAGTCCAAAGGTACTGCTAGATATTAATATATGGGATTCTGTCAAACTTGTCCACCGTATTTGATTTTGTGAGTATTTAACACCAAAAAAATGTTATATTGTATTCATTGTATACATTAAACATTTCTTTTGTTAATGTTTTTTATACTTTGTTGATAACGACTTGAAAGTCAATATAAATTTCAGGAGCAATATATATGATATTCGTTCAAAAAATTCCCTTCAATCGTGTGAACTTTTCTCTACAGTACCTTCATTTCAAAACTTCCCACCCCTAGTACTTCGTGTAGCATTGAGAATTTGACGTAGGCAAAAAACACGTCAATTTAGATTTCGAGGGGGAAGTTTAAAACCAGTGCCAGTGGTATTTTAGGTTCAACCCACTTACCCCTAGCTACCTCCACTTAATAATTTCAAATGGCACCCCCTATCTCGTAACAAACACATCATTATAAAGATCTTAAAAATCTTCACTCAACCGCGTTTAGAAAACTGAAATTGGTTGATCCGTTTTCGTAAAATAGGGCAAAAAGAAAATTAATTATATTATAAATGTACCTTACTTTATAAGGTGTTCAAAATGTTCACGTAAAAGTACAATCTATTCTCGAATCCCTGTCGGACTTTTGTAAATGTTTCGTTATTAATTTGTCTGCATGTGTCAGTAATGCTGTGTCTTAGATCTTGAATGTCCTGCGGGGGTTTTGTATACAATTGTCTTCAAATAACCCCAGAGAAAAAAAACTAATTGCGTTAAATCCGGAGATCTCGCCGGACATTCCAGAGCGCCACTTTTGCCAATCCATTTGTCAGGATACCGTTGATCGAGCCACTGTCGGACATGTAATGCGTAGTGTGGCGGTGCGCCGTCCTGTTGAAAATGTAAATTTTGTTCATCCAAGAGCGGGTTGTCTTCTTCATCAACTTGGCGTTCTGAGGACTGTGTTATGAGTGGATCGATTACATTTTCCAATCCAATTGACCAGTTAAATTTTCTTCAATAAAAATAGGGCCAATTATTTCGTTTCCCAGAATTCCAGCCCAGACGTTTATTTTTTGTGGATATTGCGTATGATCCTCTCGAAACAAGTATGGATTTTCATTATCCCAGTATCTACGGTTATGCTTATTTACAAAGCCATTAAGAAAATTAGTTGATTCATCACTGAAGCTAATATTTTACATTGGAAAATTAATCTTTGTCCATGTTTATATATTTTAAAACGCATTTTCAGTTTGAATTTACTCATTATAAACAGCCAGTGTTTGAAAATAAAGTATAATTATGTTGTTCCAGAATTGAACTGTCATTTTGTAAATCTCTGAAAACACTATACCTACAACCTAGCCCATTTTCGACATCATGCATTGCAGCAAAATAATATATTATTATGCATTTCTCATATATTTATTATGCATATTGTACCGCTTCGAAAGGTTTCCGATTTCAAATTGTAATTATGAATAGAGACTTGAAAAAATATCAGATCTGTTACTGAAAACGAAAATTGCCTGTTTTACGTAATCTTCGACGCGACTATATAGTATCTCAGTATGTGTAATGGGGTTAGTTCCGTGAAATGAAAGAATACAGCAGTAAAAGTTGATGGTTTTTAATTTTTCGATATAAATAAAAAATAAATAAAAAACATCCAATTCGAACTGACTATGAATTTAAGATCTATGGCGGTGCACTCCATTTGTGAATAGCACTTCTCGTCCGTTTATTTTTTGAAGAGGCCTGGAGTTGAACAAAAGTGGCTCACCATTCCTTGTGTAGATATTAGTCAAGTCATCCAACTGGAATAATTCAAAAGTAATCAACATTTTCAAGAAGGAAATATTATATACGTTGAAATAGAATTGTTGAAAGTTAACTTTTGAATCTTTTATTTACTTATTTATTTAGTAGGCAAGCGTAATATACAAAAAAATTACATATTGATAAATATCTTACAACAATATCAAACTATGTAAATATAANTGTGTGTTTCTTGTGCTCAGCAATGCGAACTTTCAATGGCCTCTTAGTTTCACCGATGTATGATTCTCCGCACTCGCAGTGTATCCGGTAAATGCAATTCTTGAAATCTTTCATTTTTTTCAGGGATTTTAAATCAATTTATATTATATTAGACATTGGAAGTCCGAACTGATGAAATACACCACGAAACATTGTCAGCCACCTTCAAACAAACGTAGAAATAAATTGTTATTTCTTTTCGTATTGTAATCATGAACTTCAGTATTTCTCAATAAGGATTTTTGAAAGTAAATTAAATCCAAATAAACTAAATGAATTCAGTCCAACAGAAAAGTTCGAATAGCATAAAGTTGATATATAAAGAATCGCAATTAAGTATTTAAGTGGATCATTGTTGCAAGGTAGCGGTACATTACTCTGTGGTAACAGTGAAAATTTTTCAAGAAAACAAAGAATTGTCAAAGTGACATTTAGTATTGATATTTCTGCGAAATATTGTATTTGTTAATTCACCTAAGGTAGAGTTCAAACAAACCGAAATTGAACAAAATAACAAAAAAGGAATTATTTTTGTAAACTTGCTTCTTAATATGAAATTTAATAGTACCTACTCTTCTCATTTGGGATATCCTTCACCTACGAGTCTCATTTTGAAATATTCCAGTCACAGAAAAAGTCTAGCAGGTTAGGTCCAAAGTGAGTGGGTCTATTCGACCCTCCAACGCAACCTGCAATTATTGTGGCTCACACCTATTCACACTAGACCAAATAAACCTAGCTTCGTAACGAAGCCGATTAGTTTGTATGGTGAGTGGTCTTTAAGGTCAGATGGTAAGAGTACGGTTCTGCTGAACTCTAAAAACCTGATTAGGTCCCCAGCGGGACAGGCACAAAGTATTTGCTCTGCGGTTTCATCATTTTCCAAACAGAGGCGACACACACTGTCTTCCGACAGTCTGAGTCTCTGCATGTGATGATTCAAATGACAGTGACCTGTAAGAAGGCCTGTTAGACATCGTAGTTCATCCCTACTGTAGTCCAACAACTGTTTGATATCAAGCTTCGAAGGGTGCATGAACGCCTTGGAGTGAGCCAATCCTGGAAGATTCTGCCAGAAGTCCATAAATCTTCTTGCCAACCAGGTGTTCAGTCTTTGTTTGGTAAAGCCTAAAGCGATGCCAATGACAGGTTCTGGTCCGATGAAACTGCTTGCAAGGCAGTTAGTAGCGTCATAGCCTTCCAGGCCAGTATGGCCAGGAATCCAGACCAGAGACGATATGTTAAGTCTTCCTATCGAGGAGAGTCGTTTTTGGCAATTTGCTACCAATTTAAACGTTGCTTGCTAGGAGCCAAGAGCTTCCAGCTTCGCTTGACTGTCAAAGAAAATTTTTTTCAAGTCAACAGCGTAAATTTCTGCTTGAAATACAGTCGCATAGGTTCCTAGGCAGGTTGATATTTCTGTTTCTGTCCTGGATCTGCGACTGACAACACCTGCACCGAAACTGGAAGATGTTTTTGATCTATCTGTGAACCAACAACTATCTGCTCTCAATATTTTCTTCTCCGGTAGGATCCAGTACTCTCTACTCGGGAACAGTACTTCATAAGGCAGTTCGTAGTTGACAGTTGGAGGCATAAAATCAGAGGTCCTTTCCAGAATGCTGTGACTCAGTGTCAACCAACAGTCTGTTACACTCTGCATTAAATGGATTTGTGCAATTGGCAAAGTATAGTAGGTATTCTACTCGCGAAAAATGGCCATTACTCGCTCAAGTGATTTACGGAACTCGTCTTTGCTCGCGTCCGTGCCAGGAATCACACGTTATAAGGTAAGAGCTCTATGTTCCTTAGCTCGCACAAGTTTTCACTTTGGAGGGTTATCGTTTGTAGGTTGACGACAGCTGATTAACGGAAGAACAGATTTCGACTCACCTGTGCCTGACTGATGCTGGAGGGATGTGGAAAAACGAACCATAGAACTGATTCGTCGCAATTAGGAGTCGTAAGAGAACCTTGGTATGTGAAGTAGCTATCAGTTTTACTAGGGAGTTGCATGTGATGATTCAAATGACAGTGACCTGTAAGAAGGCCTGTTAGACATCGTAGTTCATCCCTACTGTAGTCCAACAACTGTTTGATATCAAGTTTCGAAGGGTGCATAAACGCCTTGAAGTGAGCCAATCCTGGAAGATTCTGCCAGAAGTCCATAAATCTTCTTGTCATCAAGGTGTACAATCTTTGTTTGGTAAAGCCTAAAGCGATGCCAATGACAGGTTCTGGTCCGATGAAGCTATTTGCAGCACCCTCCTTTGCAAGGGAGCCAGCAGCCTCATTGCTTTCCAGGCTAGTATGGCCAGGAATCCAGACCGGAGACAATCTGTTAAGTCATCCTATCGAGGAGAGTCGTTTTTGGCAATTTGCTACCAATTTAGACGTTGCTCGGTAGGAGCCAAGAGCTTCCAGCTCCGTTTGACTGTCCGAGAATATTTTTATAGGCTTGTGTATGAGGTTGGATTCTTCCGATCTCTCCTCACAAAATTCAATAGCGTAAATGTCTGACGACAGCTGATTAACGGAAGAACAGATTTCGACTCACCTGTGCCTGACTGATGCTGGAAGGATGTGGAAAAACGAACCATAGAACTGATTCGTCGCAATTAGGAGTCGTAAGAGAACCTTGGTATGTGAAGTAGCTATCAGTTTTACTAGGGAGTAGGCTGCTTGGAAAGAATGGGGCATCCAATTTCAAAGGTTGGCGAACTTTGTGTGCAATATCTTCAACATATTCTGTTATGTCATACAAAAAATCATTGGGAAGTTTACTTATCTGTAAATGAAAGATTGTTGAGGTTGAAATACTATTCATATTCAGGTCAGTTCCTAATTATCTAGATCGTTTCAGTCCATGTAACTGAACATACTTGCTCACCACAGAATGATCCATATTTCAAAACTCCTTTGACATCTATCGAAGAAGTTGAGAAATAAATAATCAAATAACTGCAAAAATATCTTGGAATTTTTTTTGTTAATTTCTGAAAACTGAGGCAGATTTTGGCTTCCGAAACGTGAAGATATGTATTGTATTATTTCTTAGCAATTTTTTTGATAGACAAAATTGTTAAATACGACGAGTTACTGATAAATATTTTTTGTGTGTGAAAAATACTTTGATTTTACGCAGTAACTTATAGGGGTAAACTAAAAAGTTTTCCCTTTTTACACTTGTATAAAGTTCTCCATTATAATTTTTATATTTTTCAGATTGTGGAAGGTAAAAAATACCGAAAAAAGGTCAATGAAAAACTGATTTTGATCCATAAAAAATGACTTTCGTTAAATGATCCATTTATGTATAGACACTTTTCGAGCATATGCGTTATTTGAAGAAAGTTGAATTGATATCAAATAGTGATTTACACAATTATAGGTACTTACAACAATATACTTGAATTCTTCAGTGAAAAACAAACTATAATGATGACGCATCAAAATCAATTGAAACTCTATAGGACAACAATAGCGGTTTTTTTCAGCAATACATGAGAAATTAACCTAATGACTAGTAACTAATGTTACACCTAAGAATGGAAAAAGTTTATGCGCTTGTTAGCATAACCACAATAATTCTCATTTGATATTTTACTATATGTGAAT